AAGATGGGAAGGTAGGTTGGGATTTTAGTGAGAAGGGCCTTGAAAGTGAGACTTATAGGGATTTGGTCTTTATCCTGTAGGTTTTGGGAGCCACAGAAGTTGGAAAGTCCCTGGAAATCACACCCTAGAACTATGTAGATATTATGGCAAGATTGCTACCATGTCTGTTTTATAAAATCCCTTAAAGCAGTGTTTCTCAAACCATCTGTGGAGAAGGACTGTTTTTTAAAAAATTTCTAATCTGTCACAGACCAATGCATTTATAAAATACAAGGAAAATGAATCACTAGAAAAATAAAATGAAAAACATACAAGCCCATTTTTATTATGAGATTCAAGATATAAAATCACTCTATTAAACTACTGAACAAGTTCTCAACCATTAAATTCCATATCACTTTGACAGGAGTGAGCTTGTCCAGGGATCTCTGTGATGGACACAGATCTAGGACAAATGCAGGTTCTCCTAGGGAGAGCTAAGTGCTCTCAAACAAATCCCATTTTGGAGATGAGGAATCTCTCGCTCAGAGAAGATAAACGGCCTGCCCAAGACCACAGAGCTGGTGAGTGGCACGGGTAGGATTCAAACCCTGGGCTGTCTGCCTTGTTGAGCTCAACCCACCTGCAGGGCACAGCCCAGTCCCAAGACAGAGCCACCTTGGCCCAGCCCCTTAGCATTGTCCCTTCTCTTCACACAAGATGAAGATCTTGCAGATGGGAAAACAGAGCCAATGTAAGAAGGGAATTTCCCTGCCCAGGGTCCCACTGAAAGAGGCGGCAGAGGCAGTTGGCATCTAGGTCTCCTGACACCAGCTTGTGCTCAGTTTTGCCACTTGGCTTGTCTCCCTGTCTGCGCTCTGACCTCCAGGCCAGACAGTGCCAAGGAGGGAGTGGGAAGGAGGGGCAGGGATAGGCTGGGGACTCATCAATTGCTGGCAATTACATGGTGCTTTGTCATTCTTAATTAACTCAGCAGCTCTCCACAGACAGAGACCTCCGTGTGGGTGCCTAGGCTGAGCTGGAGAGAGCTGCTGGTCCTAGGCGGGTGGTCCAGTTGGCCGGGGCCCCTCAGAGCACTTCTCCCAGCCCCTTGAGGCATTGCTGCTTCCCCAGCTGTAGAGGGTCACCCACTTGCCAGGCCACTCAAAGACCAGAGGACAGACTTTAAGTCCATGGATGAGTTTTGGCACCTCTTCTGTGCCAGGACTGGTCAGCTGCTCCAGGGAACTCTGGGGTGAATGATGGCTCCCAGCCTCCATCCTTGAGGGATGGTGAGCTTCTGGGGGAAGGAAACAGGTTCATCAATAACCACAAAAAATGCTGATAACCAATTACCATTTACTGAGCACCTGCCACATGCCAGGCACTGGGCTAAGTATTTCCTATAAATTATCCCACAGAAGTTTTACAAAGCCCCCTAGAGCAGGTATTATCCCCATTGTACAGAGGAGGAAACTGAGGCCCAGTTAGCTAAGGTTGCACATATATAGGTGGAGGATTTGGTTTTACAGCACAGGTAGTAGAATTCCAAGGCCAAACAGTTATTTTCTAGGAAGAGAGAGAGAGACAGAGAGAGAGAGAGAGAGAGAGTGTGTGTGTGTGTGTGTGTGTGTGTGTTGGAGAGGGAACACAGCTGTGTAGGTAGCTGTGTGTGTGGTTATTGGAGAGGAGGCCAACTAGATTTTTGGGCAAAGCTGGGGAGGCTGGCAGAGCTGAGGAGACAATCTAGTTGGATGCTGCTGGACGAAGAAACAGCACAGGTCTGAGGAGGGAATGGTTCAGGGGCACCTGGTGTGGCTGCTGGGTCAGTGGAGCACAGCAGGCAGAAAAGGCCCTGTGGGTGGGTGAAAGATCAGAGCTGAGTCTATGCAGGAATCCCTGCGGCTTCTGGCTCACCAAGAACCCAGGTTCCTCTGATTCCCTGGGAGAGGGTTGTCTGACCTGGGCCTGAGGCGGGTAAGGTGTTCTTACTGCACCAGTCGGGGGTGTGGGTGGTTAGCTCTGGGGTGAGGCTGGACTACCCATTGCTCTAACTGGGCCAGACTGGTTCTAATCCCAAGAGAGCTCCCTTCCCTGGGAATTATGATAATAATTACCACTCTATCATCACTGTTCATCCAGTTAGAAGAGATGATTTCAGTGTTATTAAAATATGCAACATATATAGTACTTCCTATATGCCAAGCATAACTGTAAAGACTTTCCAAACATTAACTCTTAATCCTCACAACCACCCATGAGGTATAATCCCCATTTTAAAGATGAGGAAATGCCTGTCAAATTAAAATGACATAAAGTAAGGAAGTGGGGAACATGGGATGCCAGGCTCCAGTATCCATGTGTTTAACTACTGTGCTCTGCTAGTGGGAGCCAAGAACACATATTCTGCTATAAAAACTCCCATTTTCCAGATGGAAAAACTGAAGCCTAGCCAGGTTAAGGCACTGGCTCAGGCAAGTAGGGAAGACCGATCACTTGAGGAAATCAGGGCTCCTGATTCCAGGCTAGGCTTCTGTCTTGGTCCCACTGTGATATCTGGAGAGAAGCTGCGAGCCCTCTCAGCTCCTTGGCACCCACCATCTCACTGCAGTCCCTTGAGGGCTCAGTAGGGAGAAAGCAGTAAGATTCCAATTCTGACACCATTCCTAAAGAAAAAAGCCACTTATTCCTATAGTTAGCTTCTCCCTCCTTTTCATTGTTTTGTGTTCTTTCTGATTGCTAAAGAATATATTATCATTGTAAAATTTATTACAAAGTTAGATCAGATAAGCAAAAGAAAAAAGAAAGAAAATGAAAAATCACCTTAAAACTCCTTCTTGAATAGTTCTGTATTTTCAAGATTTCTTTGCTCCCTCTCTGTTTTTATAAGCATCTCAGCTAGGAGGCAAGACCCCTTGGCTTCTGGTCCTGGCTTACTATATGACCCTGGGCTTCAGGCTCCTCACCTGTGAAGTGAGGGTTTGGACACAGTGACATCAGAGGAGGCCCCTCACTGCTCTGACCTTCTGTTTCTGCTTCTGTTTCTGGGACTGGCAGAATGGGCACAAACAGGCTGCTCCTCTGTGGGGGATGCATGGTTGACAGCTCCCAGCAAGTCACCTCCGGGAGGATGTGATGGCCCTGTAATCAGCCTTCATTGCAGGCACAGCATTCCAGGCCTGCCTGCTTACTGGGCCCATATGGTGCCCCCTGCCAGCCGGACACCACCAGATGCCCTTCACCAGCCAGCCCTGGGTGATTGCTTTTCCTTCAGGTTCCAGAATGCTCTCTCTACTGCCCCAAGACTAAGCTGGCACCTGGTAAGAGAGTCAAGGGGCTCAACTCTGAGGACCTACCTACCCATTACCACAGTCTTTGTAGGAGAAGATAGTCTGGTGTGTTGAAAAGCTGAAAGAGGGAGGGAGGGGAATAGGGGGGAAGGAAAGGAACACAGCGTTCCAACTTCATTTGGACCAATGGAGTTGGTCCAATGACGACCTAGGCATTTGGGATTCAGAAACAAATCAGAAAAACTTAACTGCCCTTGAAGGACATAAAGTCTAATGGGGGTGAGAAGAGCAGACAGGTGGCAGCAACACGTGCAATGCTGAAAGCTCAGGACTGTGGGATCCCATAGGGAAAAGCCTAACAGGTGGTAATCAAGGAAGGCTTCCTGGAGGTGGCAAATTTCTAAGTCTTTTCAAGGACTGCATTCAGCCTTTCCAACTCATGTTACTTAATCCTTACAGACAGCCCTGTGGAGTGGGTATGGTTGGCCCTTATACAAGCGAGGCTCAGAAAGCTGAGTTCACAACCATTGAAAGAAGGGAAGTTGGGTTCAAACTCTCAGCATTCTACTCTGGCCTATGGGCTTGACTTGAAGGAACCCTCTGTGAGTGCTTCTCTCCCGGACCTCGGGCTTACGTGGAAAGTGGGTCTATTGCTGGCTGTAGTGTTGTTGGAGCAGCAAAGGACAGAATGGCTGAAAAAGCAGTTTCTAAACCAAGAGAAGAATGTTGGTGCATCCTCCCTATCCAGTCGGGGCCAACACGGCCCCTTCCTTTCCCCAGCGCAGGAAGAGGGTCCTGCTGTCGGAGCCAGGCACAGGCCCAGAGCTGAGGCGTCTCCGTCTAGAAGAAGCCAGGTGGTGGCCTGGGTGTACGGGCTCTCCTTTACACTCCCTCCTGCAGAGTCTGATGCGAGGGCCCAGGGGCCTAGAGAGGAGCCTAAATCCTGGACTCAGGACATCTGTCTTGTGGAATTCTAAACTCCAGTCTCCCCTCAAAGTGCCTGGGAGCAAGCATGCAGGGCAGAGTCTGGGTGGAGGTCAGGTAGCACCGAGCCGGGGCAGATGGGAAGGATCGTTAGAGACAGGATCCCACCTTCTTTTTACAGATTAAGACCCAGAGGGGGAAGGACGAGCCTGAAGTCACATGGCAGGTCGGAGCTAAGGCTTCTTTCCCGGCACCTCAGAGCATAAACCCAGGCCTTACCACCTCTGAGGCTAGGCGGGGAGTGGGGTGCGGGGTGCTGCAGGGGGCAGCTCAGCACGCTCAGGTGGTGCCAGAGAGCAGCCTAGGTGCTGCTAGGTGAGTGAAGTGCCCAACTGCTAAGGCAAACTTTTATACTCCTGCCCTGCTCCCAGCCAAGTTCTACAACCTCCACCGCTCCTAAGCCTCCCACTGCCCTGGGCATCACACTGTCCCGGACAAGACTCTTCTCTACGGCCCTCAGTCTCCCCATCTGTAAAATGGTCTCCAAGTACCTTTCAGCTGGGCTGTCTAGAAATCCTGGGCCCCACACCTCTTGCGTCTCTGGGACCACCGACTCCTAAGGAGTGAGGAATGATAAGGGGACTGGGGAGAGGGAGCAAAAGAGGTGGTGTCTGGGACCTTCAGCTGCCTACCTTAGGGGCGCCCTTTCGCGGCCGGCCTCGGGGAGCCAGGGCCGGGCGGGGCCGGGGCGGGGCGTAGCCAGCCCTGGCCCCTCCCGCCGGACGTCGGCGCGGAGCTCGCGCCCGGAGGGGAGGAGCGCGGAGCCCGCGCGCAGCCCGGCCCCGGCAGAAAGTTTTCCCTGACGGAGTTTTGGCGGCGGCGGCGGCCGGAGCGGCCATGGACGCCCTCAAGTCCGCCGGGCGGGCGCTGATCCGGAGCCCCAGCCTTGCGAAGCAGAGCTGGGGCGGCGGCGGCCGGCACCGGAGTGAGTGCGCGCCCCTCGGGCGGGGGTCGGGCCCGCGTGGACCGGCCTCCCGCGGCTCCCGCGGGGAGAAGCGGGATCTGACCTGCGGCCCGGCGCGGCTCTGCCCGGCCCTACCAGGGTTGGGGGTCGCCCGGGGTCGAGTTGGGGTCCTACTCCGCTGCCGCTCTGTGCAGCCGAAGAGAAGGGGCAGGCGCTGGGAGGAGAGACCGGAGCTGGGGGTCCTCAGGTGCGGGCGGCAGTCGGCGGGGGCTGTCGTCGGGGGAGAGACCGGCGCGACCCCTGGCACCTCCCCACCTCGCCGCCCCGGGGAGCTAGGCGAGGTAGGGGGGCTCCGTGTCGGTGCCCCGGGGAGGGGACGTGGGCGCAGGGGCTTGGGACGAGGTCCGCATCCCCACAACCCTGTGCCCGAGCCGCGGGGTCGGCGGCGGCGGGCACCCACTTGCGTTCTCCCCGCAGTCCAACCCCCGAGGTCGTCTTTTGACTCCCGGGGCCCCAGAAACCGACTCAGGTGTGGGCCAGAGTTTGCAGGTACCTACTTGAAGTTGGGGGCAGAGCTTCGCCAGGAGTCTCGCGGCACAGCACACAGCGGGCCATCTAGACCCCCGGCTCTCCTCTCCTAGCCGGGTCCAGGCGGTGAGGCCGGCGTCCTGGCTATTTTTGAAACCTGTTTTCTGTCACACCTTTCCCCTTGGGCTTCCGAAGTCCCTGGGTGCTCAGGCGAATGGCAGACTCACCGCCACCTCTCCCTGGGGCGTCTGGGAGGCTGCGAGAGGCCTCACCCGGCCCCCCTCCTCTTCCCGTCTCCAGTTACTCTCAGGGAACCCGTCACCTGGCACCTTCCCGTGAGGCCTGACAAGCTCAGCCTAAGTCCCTTCTTCTAAGACAGAAAGAAGTGGCTTGCCCGGGGCTACACAGGCCTTCCTGCTTGCTGTGGAGCTGAAGTCTCTCCTACACACTCCCACGCCCTTGCTACCCACCTAGGACCCCGGCCTCTTCCCCCACCAGGAGACCACTGACAGTGCAGTCACACCCCACCCCCCTTTCCTCTGCCTTCCAGGGAACCACCAGGGGAGCCGGAGTTCCCCAGGCAAGGGAGTGCCAGCGTGTCTGGGCCTAGAGAGCCTGCCCCTCCCTCCTGCTTGCCCCATTCTGCTGTTCCAGCTGTGGCTGCCTCCAAAACCAGAGCCTGGCACTGGGGACATGGGCTGGTGCCTGCTGGTGGGGGTGGGGTCAGAGACCTGGTGGGGCTGGGCCAGGCCAGGGATGCACCATCTCCCACACTACTGGCTACCAAAACAGCCCCCTAAATATTTGTGGGATTTGACAGAACTTCTGATATTGAAGGTCTGTTCCAGTGGGGGAATCCTGCAGTTTTCTCCTGGAATAAGGGAGGGAGGGGGCACTGGGTAAGGGGAAGAAGCTTACAAGCCCCTCTGATTCTAGGAAGGGGGAGAGGTAGCCATCTGGGATGGTGGAAAAGAGTTTCTCTTGCTCTGATCTTGGACAAGTTACTTGTCCTTTCTGAACCTCAGTTTCCTCATCTGCAAAATGGGGGTAAAAATTCTAACCTGTCAGGGTTGTTGAGAAAATTATTAATAATAGTTCTTCCTCCTAGCATCTAATTGGTGGTTTCCTTCTCTCCCACTCCCCTTTCTTGTCATGTGGACCTTCGACATGACTATTACTATGGCAGAACAAGTTCTGGGAGCTCAGAGCCTGTCTACAGCTATGGAGGAAAGGAAAGGAGAGCTCCTCTCCCTTGCAGGCACCCCAGTAAGCCTGGAGTGCTGTCGGGAGCCTTCTGGACCCAAAATAATCTGGGTTGAATATCCACCTGTCTCTTGTGATTAGGTCTCAGTTTCCTCATCTGTAAATTATAAATAACAGTAGTACCCATCTCAAATTTTTTTGTGTGTGGTGGGGGTGTTAGATGAAGTGTTTTGCCTGGCACTGAGAAAGGTTTCAATAGATGGTGACTACTGCTTTGGTCACCCTAGGTTTCACATAGTGTTTTTGCTTCTATTATCTCATTTGCTCCTGTGAGGAGACTGGGGGTCTGATTTTTACCAGACCCATTTTAGAGATAAAAGAACCAAGGCTAACATAAGTAGAGTCACTGGCCCTAGCACAAAGCCCCTGAGAGGCAGCTCCAAACCCCCATCCAGGGGTCTTACCAGTGTGCCTCCTGGAATCTGGCCACAGGAGGAGCCGGGGTAGGCCCCGAGCCAGGTCAGGCTGGCAGCCGCTGAGGACAGCAGTGGCCACCAAATAGACAGGAAAGCTGTGGGGTGTGTCTGCTGTGGGGATGCTGGGGTGGGCTGGTCTAGGGTGGTGTCCCAGCCAGGCCTTGGGCCCAGTCCTAAAGGTCTGAGCCCTGGGGTTGAATTTGGGGGCCATACTGAAGCCAGTGGAGTTAAGGTTAAACTTGACACCTGCTATCAGCTGTGACCTGCTCCTCACCATTCAAGGTTCTCAGTGGAAATTAGCATGATCATTGTTTTATTTGTGGAGAACCTGAAGCCCAGAGAAAGGAGGCAACATACCTGAGGTCACACAGCAAGCCAGAACCTCATGGCCCCATTTCCCAGTTAGTCCTGACTTTGAAGGAGGGCTCTGCCTCTCTCCCTCTCCTACACATGGCTCTTCTGCATCTCTTCAAGAACTGTAAATACTTCGTTTCAGTCCCTGGCCAGGGATTTTCCTTTCTTCTAAGTACCCTTCTTTCCAAGAGGGGTCGCTGTGACCCTCAGGTCCTTCGAGAGTTGTGCCAGCCTGTTGAGTTAGAATGGGTAAAGAAATATGAAATGCATGTTCCAGTAAAGCTAGTTCATGGTGTTAAGCAGGGGACAGAGGATCTATTCATACTTATTTATATTAATTTACAATAAATGACACTATAAATAAGCCCCCTCATACATAATCAAGCACTGACTACGTGTCAAGCCCTGAGAGGCCCTGAGGAGTCTGGTGAATGATTCAGTCACTCTTCCAGTGGGCTGCCTGTCTGGTGGAGGAGGTAAATAGAATGACCAGGGTGTAAATGAATAATGTGGCTATGGGTAGTGGTGACGCCATGAAGAAAGATAAAGCGGGGTGGGTAAATGATGGGGACAGCATCCTTCAATAGGGCGGTGTGTTTGGGTTCTTCTAGAAGCAGATGCTGAGTCAAGGATTTATTTGGGAAGAGATCCTAGGAAATACAGTTAGGAGAAGTGAGAAGGGAAGGGAGCCCAAAAGTGGGCAACTGGAAGCAAGTTACCACTGTGGGCAACTAGAGCACAATCCCGCGGGTAGCTCTGAGAAGTGGTGTACATGTGCTCTTCAGTTACTCCATTTGAGGGAGTCAGTGGTGGGTGTGGGGCTCCTGGGGATGGGAGCTCTTAATGCCCCCTCAGCCTGTACCCGCTCTGGCATCTCCGGCATCCAGGGAGCACTGCAGGCAGAGTGGTGTGTCAGGGGGCATGGGTGGAAATGGTACCCACCAAGGGGGTAAAGGTGGGGCACTGACAGTGTCAGTTCAGGGAGTCAGGGCAGGCCTCGCAGAGAAGGTGACTTGGAGTGCATCCATGGTGAACACAGGAGAGAGGAATCTGGGAACAGCCTTCCAGCCAGACAGAACAGCAAGTGCAGGGGACATTTAACTGGAGGCCAGGACTCTATGCCTCCTCTGGGCTGGTGGCTGAGGGAGTATGTGGTTTGAAGGAGTCAGGCCACCCCCTGCTCACTGAGGGTAAGCCAGACGCTCCTTTCAGGCAGCCCTGCAGGGCAGGGTGCCTGTCCCTCCTGGGTCAGCTTGAGCCTGATGCCTTTGCATGGGAAGGGGCTTGGTGGATTGTGGGGATCAAGGACCAGGGTTGTCAGTTATGAGCCATGGCTAGACTCCTCTGAGATTCTTTATCTGTGAAGCGGTAATCCTACCTAATAGATCCTTGACTTTTCTCATAAAATACACAAAAGTTTGTTTGCCCTTGACTGTTAGTAATGACAGTAGCTCACACTTCAGTGACACTTGGTATGTACCATGCATGGTTTTAACCCACCTCATGTGTAAACTCATTTTATCCTCACAACAACCTCATGGGATGGATGTTATTTTTGTCCCTGTTTTTAAGTGAGTAAACTGAGGACTAGAGAGGTGGAGTGACTAGAAACCCCACAGCAAATCTCTAGACTCCATCTTTTTTTTATCTTGACAGCGTAATTTTCTCTCTTACATTGTAAGTATATACTTAGAAAATGGTAGCTGCTACTGTTACCATTTTTTATTAAAGTCTTTTGATAATAAATACCTTCTTACAACTTCTGGAATTGTACCTAGCACTTTTCACATGCCCACCCTTCTGATGATGCCCCTGAGGGACTGAACCCATTTATCAGATAAGGAGACTGGGGTCTAGGGAAGCAGCCACACTCCAGTTGCGGCAGAGCTCGAGTCCCCTTCTAGATGGCACACTGCGGCTTCAGAGGCCATCTCCTTGCCACACTGCAGAAGGCTGGAGGCCAGGACCCTGGGTGCAGGCTCCACCCTGGTGCATGGGTTTGGCTGCAGCTCTAATGTTCCAGACACCAGCCAGGCCAGGTTTCCCAGAGCAGCAGAAGGGGCACAGGGGCACTGTGCCCAGCTCTGACTCCTGGGTAGGGGGGCTTAACAAGGAGGGAGTACACATTTGCAGCCGAGAGTTAGACTGCATGTATGGTCTGTCCCCAGCTAACTTTGACAGTGGGTCATCTGTAAAATTGCCGAGTTAAAATAGCCCAGTCATTACCCATCACAGGGCCAAAAATAACCAGGACCGGAACAGGGCTGTGGACTCAGGCCTGTATTTGCCTGGAGGCCTCTGGGAGCTCTTTCTGAAGCCGCAGGCGCCTTGGCTGATCTGAGGCAGCTGGCGGAGGCGCAGGGCAGTGAGTCTTTACTGAGTGCCCCCGGTGCTGCTTTGTTCAGCGAGGAGCTGGGCGTGAGAGACCTTTTCCTCACTAAAGGAGGTGAGTAATGCCCA